GGTCAGTTTCAGGATGGCTGGTGGTTACATCTCCTTAACACACAAAAGGAGAAGAAACAACTTGGAAAAACAGTTAATTGCTTCCAAATCCACCTTTGTGTTTCTGAAGGCACCTAGTTGGTGACAGTGTCTACCTGTGGAGGAGAGGCAGGGCGGTGGGCTAGGGCCAGAACCCCTGGGCTGGTACAAAGATATTGGTCACAGCCCAGCTTTTAAGTCAGGCGGTGGTTCATGGGTGTCACACTCATGGTTGTTGTGCTTCCTAACAACACTTCCATGTGCTCTTTTATATAGAGTTTAAAATACACAGGTGTATATTGATAGAATATTAGTAAAAGAGTCCTACTCAATACTCACTACATATTTATATGCAGATAGCAGGAAGGATTTAAGAATACTAACCAAACTGATAATTGGGAAACTTAAAAATGTGCAGAGAATTTCTATATGTATAAAAGGTTCATTTAAAATTTATTTTACGGGATTTTTATTACAACCAGAGGCTTGGCTGGTAAGTCACTTTACATTTGATTTTTATAACTTTGTAATAAGTGGCAAAAACAAAAAGAAATGAGAACATCGTGGGACAACATCATAGTGGAAAATAGATTTATTAAATTCTGTTTTAAAGATTTCTTAAACCTAAGAGCTACAACTCTGAAAGTTTTTCTGAGAATATATTACTTTTAAAAGCTATATTTTATGTTCTTTATATACTTGCAAGGCTGACATAAATTAATTGCATAATTGAGAACGATACTTCCCTGGTAACTATTTTATCCCTATTATAGTATCTCATGAAAACCTAGGATTGCAATTAGCTCTCTGTTCATTACGTCACTTGTAATGGTAAAATGTTTGCATGATGTACATTCTACGGCACTTCTTTCTTCCCTGTGAAATTCAGATAGTATTTTACTTTAGCAACAGATCTTTTAGGCGTTATGTAGAGACAAAGGACAGGTTACTTGCTCTTGTCTTCTGTTCCACAAGTGTTCCCAGTGGGTGAGGGAAATACTCATAGAACAGGGCTGGTTCCAAAAGCTGAGGTCAGAATTGGGGGATGAGACCCCGTGTGTTTTTTTGAGATTTCTGTAACAGAGATCTACTGAAATAGTATTAGTATAAAAATTAGACTAATCATCTCAGCACCCCTGGGCACTCAGTGGATGTTAGAGTACTGAATTGGTGGTCAGAAGAACTGAGTTTGAGTTTTCAACTTCTTATTTGCTGAATTGTGATATTCATTTAACATCTTTGTGCCTCATTTTCCTCATATTTATAAAATGATAATAGCTCCTTTCTCTTTCTCATAGGATTATTATGGAATGGAAATAAGTTAATAAAAATGAAAAACCTTTATAACCTCAAGGAATATGCAAATGTTAGTTTGTCACTAGAGGAAGGTCTCTTTTATTAATCAAATATATTAAAGTTCAGAGTAAACTGTAACAAAAAGCATATTTAGGCCTTTAAAATAATTACTATGTAAAGTACGTGAATTTCTTTTTTTTTTTTAAAGACTTTATTTATTTATTTATTTTCCCCCCAAAGCCCCAGTAGATAGTCGTATGTCATAGCTGCACATCCTTCTAGTTGCTGTATGTGGGACACGGCCTCAGCATGGCCGGAGAGGCGGTGCGTTGGTGCACGCCCGGGATCCGAACCCGGGCCGCCAGCAGCGGAGCGCGCGCACTTAACCGCTAAGCCACGGGGCCGGCCCCGTGAATTTCTTAATAGAAATAAGAAAATGCCTAAAGGGTCTCTTTGAAAAATTTTATTTATTTTCACACAAATGAACTACAGATCTTTCCTGACTTATATTGGGGTTACATCCCAATAAATTCATCAAAAGTCCAAAATATCGTAAGTCGAAAATGCATTTAATACATCTAACCTACTGAACAACATAGCCTAGCCTAACCTACCTTAAACGTGCTCAGAACACTTACATGAGCCTACAGTTGGGCAAAATCATCTTAACACAAAGCCTATTTTATAATGAAGTGTTGTAATAAAGTGTTGAATATCTTATGTAATTTATTGAATAATATACTGACAGTGAAAATCAGAATGGTTGTGTGGGCACATGGTACAGAATGGTTGGAAGGGTATCGGATGTTTACCGTCCTGATGACTGGGAGCTGTGGCTCGCTGCTGCTGGCCAGCATCACGAGAGTATCCAACCGCATATCTCTAGCCCTGGGAAGATCAAAATTCAAAATTGCAAATCTGGGTTCTATTGAATGTGTATGGTTTTTGCACCACTGTAAAGTCAAGCAATCAGAAGTCAAACCATTAGGGACCATCCGTATTGACGTCAAAACGTATCTCCACAGAATCCGCAGGATATCTAGATTTATTAATCAAGTCAAGCCCTCCTTTTGCTATTTAACCTCCAGAGAGACCAGTATGGTCCTGTCTCTTCTTTGTTTAGGTATGGAGGAAACACAGTCATGCCTCTCATGAATGTCTGCTGCCATCCGCAAGTCATGTTGGGACCGGCTGGAAGGGCCCCTAGGTTTGGAGTTTTACTTCTGCTCCAGGGCCTAGTTTGACCTGTAGTTCCAGAATCTTGATAAGCTTAATTACAAGTTGCCTTTGCCATAGAGGAACAGATTCATGTACAGAGAGACTGAGAATACACCTGAAAGCCATTGCTAATTTACAGTAAGAAACAGCGTAAGCTTATCTTCATAATAACAATAACACAGTCCCCTTTCTTCATAGTTCCTAAAGGCTTTTAAATTTATCTCCTTTGGAACCTCATGGCTTATGACTTTTGAACAGGAAATGACATAGTTTACTTCTAAACTGTTTATTTTCTCTATCAGGTGGAAAATACTGAAAAGTGCAAAGTAAAACAGGAGACCATATCTTAGTTGTCAAAAATAACATACTGTTAACGGTTCTTCATATTTCCTTCCTGTCTTTTCTACGCGTTTGTATTATAGAGATCATATTGTAGACGTCATGTAAATGTCAAATGTCATTTTTTTCTGGTTATGAGGGCAATCTACGCCTTTTGTAAAAACTTTGGAAAAGTTGTAGAAAAGACAAAAATCCAAAGCAGAAAATGAAAATCACATACAATTTACTACTGTAGTTAACCACTGCGAACATTCTGGTGTGTTTCCTCCCGGTCGTTTACTTCTTTTTACTTATTTATTTTGCAAACGCAGCGGGGATGTACCAAGGCAGGGGTGGTCGCTGGGAGGGGCAGCCTCTGCTCTCCAGCCTAGTGGACTGGCAGCTGCAGATCAGCACCTTCTTTCTGGACAGGGGAAGCGGGAGGGACTCGCTTCCTCTAAAGCTCACTTGTTTCCGCATTCTAAACTGATCTGTACATTGTTCTTTTCCCAGCATCTTCAAGGACACCGACACCCTGAAGTGTGGCATATCTGGGCGGCGTATTTCAACAACTTCTCCTTGACCCTTCTGGAAGCCCGTGCTCCTCCCTGCGGCCTTCACTACAGTCGTCGAGACTCCCGCCCCCATTCGCCTCCCGCGGCGACAAGGGGCGGGAGAGGCCGCCAGGTCCGGGCTTCAGGGGCACCCTCCAACCCGAACAGCGGAGTCGGAGCCCTAGCTCGCGGCAGGGTCGGGAGCGCACCGGGCTCCACTAGGAGGCTCCGTGTGCCTCTGGGGAAGGGCTGCGACCAGGGGAGCCTCCGTGGCTGAGTCCCCTGCCCCCAGGGCGGCAGCTCGCAGAGAGGCAGGCCCTCCCCGCCCTCGAGAGGTGACCGTCAGAGCGCACTTCCTGGTGCTCCGAGTCCTCATCAGAAGGTCTCTGCCCGTCGCGAGGAGGCTGCTAGGCCCCAGGCTCGTTCTTGCCTGCGGGCTCTGGGCAGGCCTCCGTCAAGGAACACCACCCGTCTGTTCTCTCCGCCCCGCTTTGCGAGCCGGCAGAAGTGCGTCCCTTCTCGCTTGCCTTATGCCGCCGAGGCGGGGACGGCACTACCGCGCGGCCAGCGGAGGGGGGGCGCTCACGCCCGGGCCTCGGCTTTCCAGCCGGCGGCAGCGGCCTCGGGCAAAGCAGCGTTCCGACGAGGAGGGTCAGTGTTATATTGCCCCGGGAGCCCGCGCGGGAGGAGGAACCACCGTCCACTTGAGCGCGGCCGTACACGCGGCCCTCAGCTCCCCCTCGGTTCGCTGGGCCGCCCGGACCTACGTGTGCGCCCGCCGCTGCCGAGCCTCCTCAGCCTCTGACAGCTCGGCGGAGCCTCGGGCCTGGAATCCCGGCTCCGGGGGCAGGACGGGGCGGGGCGAGCGCGCGGGGCGGGGCGAGCGCGAGCCGGCCGAGGAGGGAGCGCGCGGGCGAAGCCGAGCCGAACCGAGCGGAGCGGGAGGTGCCGGGAGAGGCAGGCAGAGCCGGGCGGCCGCCTGCGGCTCCGCGCGGATCGTGCTGCGTCGCCGGGCTCCGCGGACCCCGCCTCTGCCCAGGCTCCCGCAAAACTTTTATTCTCTGGGGCCCCGGTGTGTGCAGGAATCCGAGCGCTCGCGGCTCTGCGCTCCCCTGCAGCGGCGACCGAGGAGACTCGCGTGCCTCCCCGCGGGCTCTCGCGCCGCGCGCCGCCTCACCTGCCGATCGCTCCCC